CAGTTACAGTTTCTTTTTTGATGTGCCTAGCCTAAGAAATTAAATACAAAAATTTAGAATATGTCACTGGCTACGCCTCTCAATGGTCATTTTTGTAAATTATTTCAACTACGCGCTACATTCTTCAGACAATTGAATTATTACAGCCGTTGTATATGTCACAAAACGAATGGCGCAGTGGTTAAATTTTAAATTTGTTTCCGATTGAGAAGACAGGAAGAAAGTACTTACGAAATTTTTATGAGCAAACATTGTTTTAAAATAGACTTCCATTGGTGACGTATTTCATCAAAGTATTGGTCGAAAATAAAAAATTAAAATCAAAAGAAAATTGTCATTTAGTTCGTGAAAAATCGTGTTTCAATTCGTTCAAATAATAATTTTGGGGAAAATTTAAAAAAGGTATTATTTACGTAGGCATAGGTCAGAATTTGGAAAATTTTGTTGAAACCGTATATTGTCTCCATAACACCCTTCCAGAAGACTTTTCTGAAGCTAAAACCGAAACTACCACGTTGAGGTGCTCACTCTGTAATTTTTGAGCTAATGTTTTTACTGATAACTGTCACGTATGAGGAAATAAATGAACTAAAATAATTGAACATTTACATTAATCGTCCGTTAATGCAATTACGTTAGGTAATCGATTGAAAATGGCAAATCAATCTTTAACTTTTAAATTATTTTGAGTTAGTAAACGTTGGGTATCGAGTTTTGTAATTGTATTGCAATCTAAATTGCGATGTTCTATATAAGATTAAAAGCACTTAAATTAAACAATTGATTCTAAGGGTAGGAAGATGCACTCAGCGATGCCTCAACTTTACAGAAGCAGCGGCATGTCGAACTTCAACTTCAACATCAACTTCAACAGTGGGTGCAGGGAATTTGCTAATGGAAATTTAAATGGCATAATTAATACTAAATACCGGATAAAATTAGAAAATGTAAGCATTCAAGGGTTTACGTTATAAGTTTGGACGTTAATATTAAATGCAATGATTACAAGTACAAGTACTTCCTTTTAAAGTGGTGGTAGTTTTCATTAATACAAACAAACGTATTGGTTAATGTAAATAAAGTAATGGTTTTCATTATTTAATACAAAAGTAGTGGTTAAAGAAAAATATTTTCATTACTCATTAAAAAGCAATGTTTAACTCATTAAAAAGCATTGCCTAACGATAATACTTGCAATACTCATTAAAAAGCAATGTTTAACAAAAAATACTCATTAAAAAGGAATGTTCGACTCATTAAAAAGCAGTTATTAACGAAAAGTATTTTCATTACTCATTAAAAAACAGTGCTTAACTCATTAAAAAGCAATGCTTAACGAAAATATTTTCAATACCCATTAAAAGGCAACGTTTAACGAAAATCATCTCAGTTAGTCAATAAAAACCAATGTCAAATGAAAAATAGTTCCATTACTCTTTCAATAACATCATAAAAGAAGTTGATAATGTTCATCATCATTCTGTTAGATAAGACCATGAACTGAAAAGAATGCTATTCCTTATAAAACATGTTTTGGCAAGAATTTTGCATGTATCGTTTTGTAACATATGCAAATGAAGACGCCAATTTTCGAATGGAAATTACAGTCAGTCAGTATAAATCTATGAACCAGTTAAACACAGAACATTAAAACAAATAAGAAGAACCACGACTTTTTAATCAGACAAGTAGTATAGTGGTAGATGCGGACAGTCACGTTTTTATTGAGCACGCCCCATGTGTTGGCATAAGTAGGTATCTACCTGGGAACGTGAACATCTTTAAACTAAAGTTGAAATGTTCGCAATTGTTCGCGCACGTACGTCGTCGCACAGACTTAAGTTCGTAAATCCAACTTCACGAATTTATTAAGGTTCGTTTAGTGTTTAATTTTATTTATTAAAGGAGGTTTAGTGAATCGGCACCAAATACCTAGAATTATGTAAGATAAGGCCTTCTATATCCGAAATACCGAATCGTATATACTTGTTTTCGTATCTGCCTTTAGTACAAACCCTTTTTGGTTTGGTTAATACACTATTAGACCACAAAATAAATTTGTTGTTCTCACTTTCAAATAAGTTATTTACAACTACCATCAGATGTTACAGTTAGCAAATAACTACAAACAACACAGTAAGCGCCATCTGTAGAGATTTAATTGCCACGAGTCTCTGCATTTGGCTTTCACTGCGCTATTTGAGGTTATTCATTAATCTAATAATAATAATGTGGTTAATCTGGTATTCAATCGGAACCGCTGATGAGGACAAAAATGTCCGATGACCTTTGACAGAATGCTAACCAAAAACTCATCGTTATGATTAGGTTTGTACTATGGACTTTCCGTTTCTAAAAAGACCCATGCTACTCATAGTAGTGCCCAACGTTTCGTACTGAAGAAATGCATGTTGTTATTATTATAAGTGGTCGAACGGCAGTGGTGTCAAATTGGCCTTCGTCGTTTGAGGCTGTAGCGGATGAAGAGTGCGCAGGCTCTTCCCCGCTGAGCTATCAGCTCAACGAGTTGCTCTTCCAAGGCCAAAATGGGCGTAGGTAGAGGCAGTAGGCTTAGCATGGCCACATTCAGATTTTCCAGTTGTCAAACGGCGCTGTTCGGAAATCTTGGAGGAGGTAGCGGAGGAGGAGGCCGTTCCGACGGTTCCCGACCTCTGCTTGACCTTTCGGAACCAGCTAGGAAAAAAACCCCGTTTTAATAGTACTCCATTTAAACAGACAGAAACCTCAAGGAACTAGGAGAGAAAAAAAAACGAAAGCATATCGGGGATACAGCAACGTAAAAGAGGAACCAAAAACAGAAAAAACTGTACATTCCTGGGGAGAAAATATTATCATGCAAAAGTTATTCTAACTATACAGTGTGTTCCAACAATGGACCATTTGATTATTTATTAAACGTTTTGAATTTTTCTTTTTGCCCTAGACGAAGAACCTCCCGCAAAAATAAGGTTACTCAAGACAATTGTGTACAGAGCCCAGATTGGCAAGGGGGTTAGTGAAAGTAGGGGCTAAAACACCCAAATAATTTTTTTGAGTAAGAATCGTAGGGTTATTAGATTTAATAGGCTTGGGTTATGGGGTTATAGGCTGCAAAAATCTTGTGTTCTAAGGTTATGGAGTTTAAAGCACTTGGGTTATAGAGCTATATGGTTTAAAGCACTTGGGTGATAAGGTTACAGTGTATAAAAAGGTTATTGGGATTAAAATGCTTTTGGGTTTTGGAGTCACAAGATTTTAAATATGGGAGTTATAAGGTTTAATATTAATAGGTAATAATGATTTGTTTTAATTTTTGGGGAACAAATTTCTTTTATAACCACCGAGCCCAATACCAGCGAGTCCGGCCCTGATTATCAATGCTATTGCTTTAATTGAAGAAAGGGAACTATAATGAAGCAATTAAACAGCTTCTATCAAGAATTTATATAATACGTTGAGAAAGGGTTAATTTCGTGGTATATTTTTGGAACACAATGCATAAGTTTACTCACAAACTTTAAAACTGAAAGAAGACTATTACCAAAAGTAGAATAGATACGAAAAAATGACCATATAAAATACTTAGATAAGTATTTACTAAAACCATTTGGATAACAACCTTCAAAATAATCCAATCGTTATTATCCACAATGATGAACCCCATCAAGACATTCTCTCTACCCTTTAAATATATTTATTAATAGACCAGCACTAAAAGGGTTTTATATACAAGGGTTTATAGCAGTTATCGGGTGTACGATACGTTACACAAGTAAGCCGTGGTGTGTGACGGTGTTGTGATTTCGAAGCAGAAAATATACAGTGTGTCAGTGTGTGGTAGATTTTTAATAATAATTTTATTATTATTATGTGCAGTAATGTGACTTTTTGTACTTATTCAAGGTTAATATTTAATTATTATTAAGAACACGATGGGCTCAACCTTTTACCTGGTAGCGAAGCGTAGGCCGAATGTCTACGGTGACTACTGTATGTTGACATGTAGCTAAACTGCTCAAACGGATTGGGAACTATGTAAAGTAAATAAATTCCAAAGGTTATCATTACTTCATGAACAGTTCAAACACCCTTCATTTATAGCGTTCGTGTCAGTGTTTATTATTAATATTATTATTTGGGAGTTAAAGTTATTAGTGATACGACAACTGGACAAATTTTTGGGTATCTCCTGACGCTCTACTAGAAAGACTCCAAATGGATTCCTGACGTTGAATCCCATTTTCCAGAATGTTAGATCGATTGTAAGATACTATATTCAATTTTCAAAGGTCAATAGCTCGTGAAAATTTAATGTGTCACAATTTTTAATGGAATCACTTTTAGTAATTATCCTTAATAAAAATTAATCCTGTTGACCATTCTTAGGTGGTCAATTTGTACTGATGGTGTTCATTACGCGGTCTATCCTTATTTACTGAACGCTAGCAAGTAGGTTGGTCAATGTTTTGTCGTGCCGTGCTGATGAGAGCTAAATAGTTCGAAATTGCTACTGACAGAAACATTACTTGGTTTTTTAAACGTTTATAGATTTAGAGTTTTGAAATTAAAATAAACTACATCCTGACTGATTATTGATATCCGTAAATCAGCAACCCTTGCGTTTGAGTCCTTTTTGTGTTTGTAGCAATTTTTTAAAAATATTATTAGTTTTCGTAGTCCAATTTTTTTTTAAAATTCGAATAATTAACATGTGAAAAGGACATATTTGCTCGAGTCTCCACTTATTCTATCGAAGACTGGTGATGGATCAGACTACCATTTGGTCATTATGTACAATGATCTCAACCTTTCAATTCTAACAGAACAATAAAACAAAAATACACATCTTAGAGACTTACATGAGTCGTGTTGAATTTGTTTTTCTTCAGCTATTACGAGACCAGCCTGTTCTGTAGTTGGAAGATGTTGTTCCAAGGCATTTACGCAATTCAACATACTCCTGAAACACAAGCCTCCCTCAACCGAAATCCAATCAAAACTTCGTTGGAATGATTCATTTTATTAATTAATTTTATATAAGTACTAAAACATCTCTCTTATATTGCCACTGTACGTTATATCCGTCGTACAAAACATGTAAATAATGTCTTATATAAGCAACTTATGTAAGTTAGAAGCGAATTAAAATAACATCATTTGTTCATCATAGTTCTTATTTAAAATTAGAAACATTTTCTAATTAATGGACTAGTTGGTAAGTACCTAAAGGTACATTGTATTTATTATTTCAATATTTTCACATCATAGTTACCTACAGTAGAATTCGCTTGTAATAACATCCAAAGAAATACAAAAAAAAAGGATTTTATATCACAATAACAACATCTCATTTGTTGGAATTTTTTCTATTACAATGCAGTAATATTATAAGCGGTAGATCACATTAACCGGAGTCTCTCTAAAGTATAAACCTATTTATATGAAAAGCAATATCTAATATACAGTTACTTCATTACATGCAGAGTTACTTTAAGCGAATTTCACTGTTTTCTTTATTTGTGCACCTTTAATATGTTTCACAATCTCAATATGAATTTCTATTTTCAATTGTATTTGTAATAATAGCAAACAATTACAATAAATAATTAGGTGTATGCGAAAAAAATTTTTATGAAAGTTACATAAAAATAGTAACTGTATAAAGATAGAAATTTATACATACACATACTAATCTGCAGCCAAATTTAATAAAACTTTTCACAGTAACTCAAATTGTTCTGTTCACGTAATACTAGGTTTATACGTACGTTTCACGATACGCGTAATAACAAAAATTGAAACAGGCATACTTAACAAAAACTTATTAACAAAAACAAATAAAAACAAAATATTAAGGAGCGAACTGCGTTTTGTCAATGTAACTACAACTTTTGCGATATCGTCACCGTATCGGAGTTGTTTGGATTCTCTGCAGCCTTTGCTTCACTGCAAATAATATAAAAAAAAAGTAAAAAAAAAAAAATAAACAAAAATGTAAAATGGTCACACAAAAAAAAAACAACAAAAAGTAGAAGAATCTCAATATAATACTATCTGATCCACAAAATGTGTGATGTTTAAGTTGCAATCATCAGTACATTCAATTCCGTCTACACGTCTATTCGAATTAGCTGTGACTTTTAAAGGTAGGTATATAGATCAACGTTTTCCAAAGTTAAAAAAAAAGCTTCGAAAGCATTCCTCAATGGAATCATTTAATGTCTAGACTTTGTTTTTCCAAAGTTGTGAAATGTCTGATGTACGAGGGTGGATTGATAAGTTTCCGGCCTAACCAAGAGATGACGCCACTAGGCCTACCTTGAGGTGACATTCTATAGTACCATCCTTGGATAGCTTGTAGCTATAGTTTCAGCCCGATCTCCTTGCTAGTGTAGGTTTGACAGCACGCTAAACAAGACGCCTCTGTGGTTTTCGTAAAAATGGAAAAGCAGGAAAATCGTGCTGTCATCAAATACTTTTATTTGAAGGGGTTAACGCCGAAGGAAATTAAAAAAGAGATGGACTCAACACTGGGGACATCCTCCCCGTCATATTCAACCGTTAAGCAGTGGGTTTCCGAGTTTAAAAAGGGTCGTGTGAGCACCTCTGATGGGCCTCGCTCAGGACGCCCCGTTGAGGTCACAACTCCAGATATGATCGAAAAAATTCATCAAATAGTGCTGGGAGACCGCAGATTGAAAGTGCGTGAGATAGCTGAGACCTGTAAGATGTCATATGAACGTGTGCAACATATTTTGCACCAACATTTGCATATGGAAAAGCTCTGTGCAAGATGGGTGCCGCGTTTGCTAACAGTCGACCAAAAATTGATTCGAAAAAACATTTCTACCGCAAATTTGTCATTGTATAAGCGTAATCCAAGCGAATTTTTGCGTCGATTCGTAACCGTTGACGAAACGTGGGTCCACCACTACACTCCTGAAACCAAAGAACAGTCTAAACAGTGGATTGGACCAGGGGAACCAACTCCAAAGAAGGCAAAAACAATTTTTTCGGCGAACAAGGTTATGGCTACTGTTTTTTGGGATGCAAGAGGTATTATATACATTGATTACCTTGCAAAGGGTAATACTATCACTGGTCAATACTACGCAGACTTATTGCAACGTTTGAGCCACGAGGTGAAAATTAAACGACCTCATCTGGCGAAGAAAAAAATCTTGTTTCATCACGATAACGCACCAGCGCACACGTCAATCGTTGCGACGGCTAAAATCAACGATCTAAAGTTTGAATTGATGCCGCACCCTCCTTACTCTCCAGACCTAGCCCCGAGTGACTATTTTCTGTTCCCTAATCTCAAAAAATGGCTTGGCGGTAAGAGATTTGCGGACAATGAAGAAGTAATCGAAGCTGTAAATGGTTATTTTGAGGAGCTTGACGAATCAGTCTATAGAGATGGCATTAATAGACTGGAACACCGCTATGAGAAATGTATCAGCCTTGGAGGAGATTATGTTGAGAAATAAAAAAAAAAAATTTTTAAAAACCTTGTTTTTCTTGGTCAGGCCGGAAACTTATCAATCCACCCTCGTATAATAAGGGTGACGCTGATGACAAAAGTTTGTTCCGAATCGAATAATCATTCGTATCGAGGCCTTACACGTACGAGTACGTAGTCAAAGTTTAGTGGATGCGATCGGAATTTCAGAACACCAAGGAATTAGGATCGAAATAAGAGTCGAGAGGTCATTACACCTCTACCAATAGTAAGTACCCTTTGTACTAATCGAAAGCAAACACGTAGAAGAGGAATTGGACGTGCTCATGTGCTTCTTGAAGTTAGACAACTACGTACAATTAATTTGATTACGCATTTAAATAATGCTTGGTGCAAAAATCCTAATTTGAGGTTAATTTCAAGTACGAAGGAGTCCCAGAATTAATCGGCCTGGCACATAGATGGCGATAGTGTTTAAAATATAATGACTGTGGTAGATAGTAGCAGCTTTAGTAACATTAACTTTCTAGTTTGAAGACGCCTACATTGTTTATTAGGTACCTACTGGTTTAGATGCCATCAATAGTGAACACCCTCATTAGTTAATTTGTAAACATGAAAAACAAATTGTCATCGTTATGTGATACAATAGTTTCATTTGAAAGGACTTAATTCATTCAATGTCAAACCATAGATAGATTATACTTAGGGGGAGTATGCACCACCATTTTCCACAGTGAAGACGAACATCACAATTCCAGTAATGATGAAAAAGTGTAGAAAATAGTATTAGATGACCGTCAACTAAAAGTGGACGAGTTAGCAGTAAAGGTAGACATTTCAAAAAGTATTGTATATTACATATTTAGAGGTTTAGACCATTGCTTAGCATTCGGAAGGACGCCTGTTCGATTCCGGTCCGTTTGCCTTGGTCCAAGTTATTCTATGGTTTCCTTGGATCACTTAGGCAAATGCTGAGGCAGTAATATTCCACAGATAATCTTTCATTCTCTTCTGTCTTCATTTCGTCCGTCTCATAATTCTCACCCGAACCACCACCCACCCATTCCCACGATTCCTGAAAGGAAGCTGAAGAGGACCTTCCGCCCTATCTTTCGGCATAGTCCGGAGGGACTGCCCGCCCACCAGCATTACTGGCTGGTGGGAATGAAATATCTAAAAGTTAAGTTTCATGAGAACGATGAAGATGTTTCAATCGAATGTTTGGTCATGTTCCACAGCATCTAAGCCGATATTTTGCGTTGACTTATAATTATACATGGGTCCATCACTACACACCCGAGACGAAGTCAATAACTTGAACTGAAAGGGAAATATGGGATCCATATATCCAGGTAAAGACGGTTTTATCTGCAGGCAACGTTACGGCTTCAGTTTTTTGAGATGCGTATGGTAGGTAGGTTGACCTACAATTTTCACTGATTATCATGAAAAAGGAAAAACCATCAACGGCGTGTATCATGAGAACTTATTGGAAAAGGATCGCATTTGGCGAAAAACAAAGTATTTCTCCACCACGACAATGCGCCTGTTATTCACCCTAATTGTCAGACTCAGCCTCACGGAATATTTTCCTTTTCCAAACTTGAAGAAATGGCTCGCTGGTAAAAGACTTGTCATCAATGAAGTGTTGATGTCTGCAGGAGTTGACTATTTCAAGAAGCTTGAAGAAGGTAACGAAGCTATTGAACATCGCTGGGAAATGTGTATTGAGCTAAAGGAAGAATATGTTGAGGAATAAATAAAACTTTTTTGTGTTTTCTTTATTAGACCGATTAATTCTGGTACTGTCGTCGTAACTATGTCATTGTGTCATATGTTAAGACACCCGGTGTATTTAATCCGTCGGATTTCCAGCGAAAAGTTTCCAGTCTTATCCCAACTATTCGTTATAAAACAGACGCTCGCGTGGCAACAAATTAATATCTTGGACGGGCGTTTTCTTCGTCCGCGTCCTTATTTAACAGCTCTTTGTTTGTTTGTTTGTTTGTTTACTGAACTTTACGAAATAATGGCGGCACAAGGCAAGCTGCGGTCGCAAAAAGTCAATCCCGACAACAAAGTCGTCCCCGTTTTGCGCGCTCCATGCCGTCCCGTCCCGTCTCCGCAACATTACAAGTCAGTCCATCGCAGACGCCTTTGCTTTACAACTTTAACGTTTAATCTCGAACTTTTTGCCCGGCGTCGACGTCGACGTCGGTCGAGAGGCGACTAAAAATCAGACCGTATATTTCTAAATACACATGCACAAGAGAACGTCTCGAATCGCCAAGTTTTTGCCCGATGTATCTCTCTCCTGCTGCTTAAAATTAGTTTCTTGCAATTGTTGACCGAAAAAGTTACCAACGAACTTGGTATTGCTAAATGCAGAAAAAACGAAAGATTTGCTGCACTTTTTTGTTACTTTATATTAGTCGCTAACTTTAATAAGAATCCAACAAAATAATTCGAAGTGGTCTGTATTCTGTCGAAACTGCCAGATGCGGATCGCGATTTCGATCTTTTTGGATCTCATCAGCGCGTCGCAGGCAGCTCCGACAGAACACAGACCAACCTTCACCTGCTGTCTTAACAGCGCGTTTTCGAAAATACCACAAATGGCGTGGTGAGCGCCATCTGTGGTACGATGCTACATCTGAGGATTACGTATGCTCCAACAATACGACGCGCTGATGAGATCCAAAAAGGTCGAAATGGCGATCCGCGTCTGGCAGTTTGGACAGAATACAGACCACTTCGAATTATTTTGTTCGATTATGGTAACGTGCCTATCACGTTGACGTGAGCTACACCAGGATTAGTTTCAGCAAGTAGATATCCATATTTTTAAATGGACCTTGTTGGAGCATACGTAGTCCTCAAATGTAGCATCGCACTACAGATGGCGCTCACCACGCCATTTGTGGTATTTTCTTTAATAGGAATGATTAATACGGCATTAAAAATTGATTCCTGGAAACTTATCTTCAGAATTAACTCTATTCTGTTTGCAAAGGCACTAGTCAGCTCCTGGTGAAAGAATTTGTGCGGTGTCTTCAACAGTTCATCAGGGATACTCTCCTGAAGCTTTAATCTTAGATTTCAATATTACAATACGACGCCAAAACTTTTGACTACGATAATTCTGAAACAGTACGCTGTAGGAAGACGATTCAGGACCTGCCTCAATCCTAGGTATCTTTCGAAAGTTTTGGTGGTATCCTCATACGGAATCAGATCGTTGAATCCAAAATTATTGGTGATGTTTTAGACTCAGCAAAAAGACAAAACGAAACTGAGGGTAAATACCGCGATTAGACTGGCTGTAGTTCAGGTCCGAATTTTATTCCATCACGATTCTGTTCTATTTCCGAAGGAACAGTACAACTGCTGGTACAGGAATTTCTGAGCTATCTTTAATAGTTGGTCAGATATATAACGCTTTAGTCCTAGATTTGAATATTACAATAGGACGCCAAAACTTTTGACAGCGATAATTCTGAAACGGTACGCTGTAGGAAGACGATTCAGGACCTGCCTCAATCCTAGGTATCTTTCGAAAGTTTTGGTGGTATCCTCAAACGGAATCAGATCGTTGAGTCCAAAATTATTGGTGATGTTGGAGACTCAGCAAAAAGACAAAACGAAACTGAGGGTAAATAGCGCGAATTAGACTGACTGTAGTTCAGGCTCGAATTTTATTCCATCACGATTCTGTTCTATTTCAGAAGGAACAGGACGACTGCTGGTACAGGAATTTCTGAGCTATCTTTAATAGTTGGTCAGATATATAACGCT